TCTCTCTCTCTCTCTCTCTCTCTCTCTCTCTTTGTCTGGTCTCTTCCTGTCGAAGGTCAGAGCGAGGAGCGAAGCGTTTGCTCCTCGAACCGTGTCGCGAGGTCGGAATCTCCTTCGTCGGCAGTCGGACGATTGCTCGACCGTCACAGAAGCTAACCTGGTCACCCAATCAGAGCGAGAACAAAACAAAAGAAAGGTGAAAAGACTTATCGCTCGGTGAGATCGAGCCTATATCCTGCGCCCTCCGTGAGGAAACAGAGTCGGCCCCGTCTGGCCGGTGAATCTTCGCCACCGTGCAATTACTATTAGTCCGTTATCGTTAATTTTCTTCCATCGCGATGGACGGATCGTTCGCATTCTCGATGTGTAGCCAGCGACCGTTGTATTCTCCGATCGGCCAGAGACCTGTCTCGTGACCCAAAAAATCACGGATCGATGGACAAAGAGGTGCTGGGTCACGAAGAACCTCCGCTTCCGTGAAACGCGCTACCACGTTCCTGCCACCGCGGATGCGCCAGGGAGCTTCGTGTGCGATCGACCTTGCCCGAGTTCTTGCTTTTCAAGAACGCCGGGACTCGCGTAGCGAGGAAATTGCTGACGACTTTTTTCTTCTCGCGACCTCGACTGGTTTCGCGATTTCCGTCTCTCTCGGGCAACCGATCCGCAAATTAAGGTTCGACAGGCCGCTTCTTCTCGACGCGGATTGCACGAGGTTTTTCGTGCAACAAGTTTGCGTCAAGGACGCGGTGGAAACAAAGGTAACTCGCCGCCGAGAGAAAAGTCGGAAAGAGGTAGTCGCGAGTCTGATGAATTTACAGGGGAACGTGACGATTAAAATCAGCTAGAGATAAAGTGAAGAGTTCCGAGCAGCGATTCGCCCGGCTGGCACGACGATGTCGTTCAAGACTCTCACCGGACGTGATTCAGGGAAAGTCACACGCTCGTAAATCAACGGCGGTAATGGGCACCGTTAGATTTGCAATGATAATCTCATGGTAATGCATACGATTCGGTCGAGCGGACGAACGAGAAAATAATTAACGAGCGAGCCGAGAGTTCGCCGAACTATCGGCATCGCCGGCGTTGATCCCCGGGGATTTACGAGTTCCCGGACTTAAACCCGGCGCAAAAACGAGCATCAAGGGATCTCGTCTGGCTTCGTAGGTTGATAATCCGTCGGTAATTCTTGCTCAACGCTCGTACGGGCTACTTTCTTTACAGCGCGAATACTTAAAGCTGGTTTGCAAATTTTCTGGCTTTTAACTTTAATCCTTGAGAATTTCGCTAGCAAATTCCAGTTGCGCAGCCTGCGGATTTAGGCTAGTTCACGGAGATTGTGTCACAAGTTCGTAAATTAACGCGCTTTTATCGCGCTTCAATCGGAGTTAGGCCTAGCGATTAACGCTGATTCTCGAGGGAAAAGAATTTCAGTAAAATCTTTTCGCGTCTTTTCTCAAAGCGGCGAGACAGCAGAAAAGAAAGCAAATCTCTGTTCGTAGCTCTCTTCGGTGAAACGACGCGGCGGCAAACCGAAGGGATGACCGAGAGTTTTCGCGACGTGGCGCGTCGGGTTCACGAGTGATCTATCGATCTTCGAGGGCCGTTAATAAGCATCCCGTCGACAGCACAGGGTAAGGTGTACCTCTAATTCAACTGATCGATCGCAGGATAAGCGAAACGTACGATGGGACACTGTACGGTATATACGTATAATAGACGAGGATCCAGCGAGCGCCAAGCGGCGGCGGCAGCAGCAGCAGCAGCCATTTACCATTCAATTACGCCGCAATTACAGGATCGTGTGCGTTCCGTGGCTCAAACTGTTCGACGATCGCATACCGTGTGCCTTCTTTCGACAGACGTTTCGACCCTCTTTTTCGAGATCTTTAATTGACGACTGTAAAACGAACGGCTCGCGAGAGATCCTCGCGATTACCAAACTCAACGAAAAATGAACGATTAACGAGTAACGTTCGCCGAAAAGTAACGCGACAGTTCGTCTGGTAGTTTTCGCGAATCAATCGTCTTCAAACTCGTTGACAGCAACGAAGAATGATGTAACGATCAAATGATGTGACGACGATATTTATTGAAAAAAAAAGAAAGAAAGGAAAACTGTCAAACTTACCCTTGTAGCGCGTGTGGAGGAGCCGGCCGCGGCGGAGGTGGCAACGATTTTCTGCCCGGAGTGTTCTGTCGTGGCGCCAGAGGCGGAGGAGGTGAACTAGGCGATCCACTGCCGCCGTATCTATCCGTGGGACACTGAGGTTGAGGCTTCTGTTTCGGGGTGTCCATGTATTTGGCTGGCAGAGCGTAGTAGTTCCTCTGTGTCACGTCTCCGTGACGTTGATGATGATTGGGCACGTATTTCGGCGGCTCGTGATACTTCTGAGGACTCGACTCGGACGGGAACATCTTGGAATTGGCCTCGTAGCCCGTTTTCACTGGACTACCGATCGTAAAACCGACGCTTCCACTTTCCAGATACTTGGACGCGCATTTGGAACTCTCGGGAACGGGCAGATAGTTCGGCCTCGTTGCTTGATTCGACTGATTGCCACTCGAGCCACTTTTGTCAACGTTTTTGGGCACCTGTGGCTGAGGCCTCTGACCAGACGAGGATTCCAATCTCTGGGCAGAGTCGTTCCTGAGCAAGCCGGAAACGTCGATTCGCGTGCCGTCCACTCGCATCGATTCTTGCCGAATGATTCTCGGTTCCACGGGTACCTGAGGGGCAGGTCTCTGGTTGCCAGAGTCGCTGTATCGCTGCGAGATGAGATCAGGTAATTGAGCCGGGGGCCTGCCGGAGAAAGGCCGCTCCTCCGATATTCTCCTGGCTGGCGTTACTCTGCCATTCATCATCAACTTCTGCGTCGACGGGTACCGCAAACTGGACCGACCGGTGGCCACCATTCTGTGCGTGGCGAATCCAGCGGAGACACCGTTCTCCAACACCATCTCGGAATCGACGTGCTTCAATGCTACGGCAGCCCTGACGAACTGACGTTGTTCCTGCTCTTGGGACACCGGCGTTTTCGCCGGCGAATTCGGAGAGGCCTTTCCAGATTTCTCGTGATCTCTCTTGGAACCGTGCTTCGACCTTCTCACCGAGTGTCTCTCGAACTTGTGTCTGTCGCAAGATCTGTCGCGAATCTTTGTCTCCTCAGATTGGTGGTGGTGAGCATTGCCAGGCTTGCGCTGACTCTCGGCGAAACAGTCCTCGCTGAGCTCGGGCGGAGGAGGCGGCAACGGATCGTCGCAATCGTGAACTTCGTTCTCGGTCACTGTTGGAGGAGACGGCGGGGGTAAATCGGGACTGGGCACGCGATCGTTGTAAACGTTTCTCAGGTGTGGCTTCTTCGGTGGTCTCTCTGGCACCCAGTCGTCGATCGATATAGCTGGCCCAACTATCACAGGGCCTAGCAAATCCGTGGAAAGACTACCGCAGCTGTTGCTGTGCTGATGCTTCGGACTCGATAGTTCGCCGTTACCCTGGTTCTGATTCCTATTCCCATTTTCCCGCCAGGTGCCACTGGCGTAATCGGAGGCGGAACTTGCTCGCCTCGAGGAAGGCGGTCTAGGGCGAGGTGGTGGTTGAGGCGGAGGACTCTGAGGCGCTGGCGCTGTTCCTTGAGCCAGTTGCGGTTCCGATCTCCAGGATGCCTGGTGATGTCTCTCGTAGAAGGAAAGTAGAGCTTTCTTCTGTATGGCTTTTAACGTTGGGTCAGAAACTCTGTGGCGCTTTTCCGGGTCCAAATAAGTATAACGCATCTGTTGTTGTTGCTGTTGCTTCTCTAGCTCGTTTATGCGTTCCGCCACTGATATCTGTGGCTGTTGAGACAACGCTGGCGCCATTCTGAAAGATAAGACATAAATTCAATGAAAAACTGTCGATAAGGAGTCCTAAGGATGATAATACGCGGAGTGACAGCAATACCTTGAGGATTGCGTAGATTCCTGAGGCTGAGTAGTGCTAACAGGATACAGCTTGCGTTGGTTTCGTTCACGATCCAAGTACAATACACTTTCCGAATGATGCCTCTGCGGAGTCTGAACTCTGGCACTGTGGGCGATCAACTGTTTACTACACGGATGTCCGTTAGCCTGGCTAACGTCCGACATCGATCCATGGATAGGATTCCAATTTTCGGGACTCTGAGGAGTCGTGGCACCGACGTGCTGACGCATGGGACTCTGTGGCATCGGTTGAGCCAACGAACCGTACTTGTCACCCTCGATCCTCACGGAATTGTCCCACTGAGATCTGTCCGACTGAGACTTATCCACCAGCGATTCCTCGTCGATGTTCGACTCTTGCCACTTGCTCTCTCGAACGCTCGACGAAACGTCCACCACGTTGGTCGACGCGTTGCAATGATTGATCACAGCCGGCAAGCTTGATCTGCCCTGGCTCTGCTTGTTGCGATCGTTCATCGAAACTTGCCACTTGTCCGGCCATTTCTCGCTGTGTCTGCCCTTGGTCGTCGGGGACAGACCAGTGGTGCTGACGTCGCTCATAGATCCTTGCCACTTGTCGTGGCAACCGTTGTTAGGCTTCTGAGGCAAAATTCCACCGTTCATGCTGCTCACGTCCGACATCGATCCGTGGTGCCAGCGATCCGATGCGCCTTGTCGAGCCGGCAAACCACTGGACACGCTCACGTCCGACATTGACCCGTGCCATTTCAGAGTTTCGCTGCTCGAGGCGCTTCCGCTGGACGTCGTCACCACGCTGTCTCTTCCTTCTCTGGACGTGTCCTCCCAGGTGGATGTTGGCCTCTGCGCTACTGCCTCGCTGTCTCTTCTCAACCTGGATCGATCGATCCGAGCGTGAATGTCACGACAAACGAACGATTTAATTATCAAGTACCTGTCGAGGAACGGAGTGTTCGTCGTCGAGTCAACGCTGGAAACGTAACTGTGATAACCTTCGGATTGTGCGTAGCTAGCTTGCTGAGAATGTTGCACCCTCGTGTACTCTTCAAGACCCGCTTGCGTCAGGGTTGCCTCTCTGTAAATGTCCACCTGCGAAAGGACAATCCAGTCAGTCTGGATTGATTCGTCGACGAGAGACGAACAACGAAAAGAAAAGAAGAAGGAGGGAAAAAACGAAAGAAAAGATGAAGCGTTACCTGGGACACCTGAGGATCTTGATAGCTCCTAACGTAGGCTTCCAAATCGACATGGCTGAGGGTCTGAGCGATTTGTTGCTCGCGTTCAGGAGGCGACGGCACCACGTACTCCGCGTCGCCCAGAGCTTTGCCCTCGCGGTCCACGCGAGGCCACAATCTCGGCTCCTCTTCCACGGTGGTTCTGCTCCGCGACTCGAAAGTCTCCGCCGGGATCTTCTCGCAACGTTCCATCACCGTTTTCAACTGCAACATGAAGAGAAGACGGGTTGATTCTTCCCGGCTTCGAAACGCTTTCGTTCGTCCGTGTTCGCGTCCACGAGCGAGCCAAGGTACACGCAATGAGTAGCTGCGTAATCGATTGCGCAATCAGCGTGAACCGCGCGCGCATTTGCCTAGACCGGAGCGCAGCGATGTAATTGAACTTAAGCTGGATTCCGCGTTTTTTTACCGCGGGCGAGCCGCTCTTCCCCCATCGAGTGTTAGCTTAATGCGTTTCGCTTTAAAATAAACCACCGGGCAACGAGCTAATTACAGCGTGGACCGCGGCAAAAACCATGTCCAGCTAATAAGGAAATCCTAAATCGAGCAAAAGGAAAGTTCGAGTGAATTACGGCGCGGGAACGTTAACGCGTTGTGGCGGGAATTCTTTGGAATTCGCGTGCAAGACGAGGACGTCGAGAGAGTTTCGAGAGGAGACACTGGTCGAGGCGCAACGAAATTGCTGGCCTACTTTTCAGGAAGTGGTCGGGCGCAACCACGGCGGCGATTATGTCACCGTGTGTGTGTGTGTGAGAGAGAGAGAGAGAGAGAAAGGAGGGTTCGCGGGTGTGGGAGATTAATTATACGCGTCGTTTTAGGGCGTAGCGCGATTTACCAAGGTTCCGACGTCTTACCAAGCTACCGTCGATGCTTTAACGCGACACGTTCGTCCAATTAGGCTTCCCTCGACCGGTCGGTTCTGCATGCGCACGGAACGCACGTTGCCGCTATCCTCTCGTGCAACATTTCCCGTGCAACCGGCACGGAGCACGCTGAAAATGGCAACGATAAGGCTGGCACTGGCCGGTGTGGCTCGTGACTCGTTAACACCGTCGAAAGTGCTTCGCCTCTTTGCAAATGAATTTACAATTTCGTAACCCGGTGCGACACGAGGGAATGCGCTCGCCACGTCGACGTGTGTGCTGCAGGTAAGTAACGTACGTACATACATGGAGATTCGATGAATCGGGACACGAGATTTTGTCGACCGACTGACGCGTTGGTTATCGATTCGCAGAAAATTCTCACGCAGACGACAAAGATGGATACGTCACCTGCTGCGTGAACGTAGGATTGGGCCTCTTCGTGTGCGGTCTGGTGTACTGGGCAGGCTTCTCCTTCGGGTAATTGGTATGATCGGTCCAGGATTTCGAACGATGGGATCCGCTGTGCCCTGAACTGTGAACGTCCTCGTCAGTGTGCCTCTCCGGCGCGCTTGGCCACGAAGGATACTTCTCGTGGCCGGGTCCATAGCAGACGCCTTTGAGGCTGGACGCGTCTCTGACTGGCGGCGTTGGCGGTGGCGACGCCTCGTCTCTTTCATTGAGAGGAAGCGTGTAACTGTCGAATCCGAGGCTCTCGCTGTATCTGCACGCGGAAACAAGCAAATGTATACAATATACGTCCGTGAACGCTCGTTCGAATCGGCGATACGCGTACGGAAACGTTGGAACGAATCGTTCGCGTGGGAGCAATTACACGCGATCCGGCAACAAATAGCCGGTGATTAGCGATCATCGTGCGGCGCGATGAATCAGCAGCGGAGACTCTGGACGATCCTGACGGTAGCTGACCACGCGTCTCTCCTCTCCTCGCTGTCGATGTCATTGAACCACTTTATTACCAGGATGCGTGGCCGCCGCGTAATTTATGGAATGACGAACAAGTTCAACGTAACTGGAAACGCGTATAATCGGGCTATAATTGCGACGTCGTTGTACGCGGATCGTGTCCCGGTAACGACGAGACGCCGCGTCGCTCCGAACGCGCCACGTTCGACCTATCGCGAAATCTAAGTGTGTCGAGACTAATACAGCGACCGTCTAATTGGCTGCCAAACGGTATCTCTTATCGTGCGGGGCAAAAAGCTGGCCGATAAAACAGTCTGCGCGAGCTGACCGTGGAAACTCGTTTCACGATGTACACGATGAAAACAATCCGTTTCGGCGCGGACCGAGTGGAATCTTCGATGAATTCTCGAAATTGTACTTTCTTTGGGATTGTGTCGATACGGAGATAGGCACAGAACGAGCGTCCAAAGTGTCGGGGATCTAAAAACTGTGCAAACATTGAAACGTGACATCCTTAAGGCTCCCCATACACGTCGACTTTTAGGTTTCACGAAACCCGCATCAGAATCAGTTCACCTATGCCGAGCTACGTGCGTAGTTGAACGCAGCGCCGTATGTTTCAACGTGTGTATGGGAACCTTTAGAAAGATGTACGTAAATGTCCCAGAGAACAGAAGGTAAGAGAGGAGAGGAGCGACCAACGACACAGACGACGAAACGAGCAGAAGCTTGTGATCATCGAACGTCGCGTACCCGCTGTCGTTCTTGTAGCCCGCAGTATTCTTTTTGTAACTTTCGTTGTAACCGGCAACCGTGGCCTTCTTCGCTGCGTTGCTAGCCTCGTGCTCGCTTTCCGTGGACCTCCTGCCGTCGTTTCTGCGCCGGTAGTACTCGTTGGAAGGCACTGTCCGAGACGGACTCTGCTTAAGGCCATAGCTTTCCTGAGGATACGACGAGGTACTCTTGAAATTGGCAGTCTCGCTGCCGTGGCCGTGACTCGCGTACTTGTAGGAGCCCGGTGGACAGGAAGGTGGGCCCGGGGCCTCATCCTGGACTCGATACCCTGGCGGCGACGGCTGCAATTCCGTCATCGTGTAACCAACGTCCCCGCCATCCGGCATACACCTGCGCAATCCAACAAAAGTCGATTCGTTAGCTGTTGTTAGCCGATCGCCGATACGTAGATTGGATATATGGATCAAAAAAGACTCGATTTGTCAGGCCGTCGAACGATCGTTGAACCTAGACCTTTCGTCGCGTACACGGTGGATTTGTCAATTGAAACATCCAGGCCAGACAGTTTCCTCTTTAATATCCGAGTATTATCGCTCTCCCCTACGGTGACATTCAATGATCCATGTTGGTAATTGCACCTTCCTCTCCCGAGTTTTAAATCAACCGGAATTCTTTTTTCCTCTCCCTCGAGTTTTTTTTTCTCTCTCTCTCTTTCTTTATTTCTTTCTTTCGCGCGTCGTGCGTCTCGTACGGAAGCAAGATCCGGTTTTCGAATACTCCTCGGAGCCCTCGAGTCCAGTTTGTCGCATCGCAAAAGCAACTGCGTTCACATTCCCAAGGAATTATATTTCTCGGATTCACCGAAATCTATAAAAAATCCAGCGACATTCTCGCGTACTCCCTTTGTCGACGAGCTTGCGGCTTTACCTTTCTCTGCCGCTTTACAGGGGAAATAAACGGAGCAGACGGCATCTAATTGAACGGTCGGAAGGTTAATTAAGACAGCGGTCGTGGCGATGCTGGCGGTGTGTATCGCGAAACGGTACCGATTGAAATTAAAATCGTTAATCAGCAACGCGTAGCGGTTGCCGATTAGCCTCGACTCTGCGTATATCACCATTGATCGACCACCATCGCCACGCGTAAATTACGGCCAGGCCAGCGTTGCTTTCACTCGGTGCACGCGCACCGTATATACATACATACATACATACATACGTACATACACACAGATTCCCAGGAATCTAGATCCCCGGAGATCTATCGGATCGCGACTCGATCGAGCCGGGCCTTTTACGACCGCCGCGGCCGGTACACGCTAATCAATTTGTTCGCGCGCGGAAAGTACATTGTTTAGGTGCAAACTCGACGAATCGAGCGCAACAGGCGTGTCCGTGATAAAATCCAACGAGCCTTCCAGCCTTCGCGTTCGCTTTAACCTTTCGCTCGCGGTGAACGAGACGCGATGAGTCGCCGGCAGTGTGCCTCGCTTTATCGAAGGAATCGAGAGTCGTTGCTGAATTATATGCGCCGCGTAGTCAACTTTACGGACAGGGAAGGTGTGTCCTCAGTAGCACCTTGCTAACGAGGATGAATGGATCGCGATCGCGACACGAATTAAGGGGAGATTCGACGACGACGGAGAAATTACGCGGTTGCTTTCAGATTTACGGCAATCGCGTTCTATCTTTGCTAATACGCTCGTCGAGCGTTGCTCGCAACTATCTATCAGGACGTTGATCCTGTTACGTTAGCACCGAGAAGTGGGTCGAATATACCCCGTGTGCAATATGACAAATAAGCGTTTTATCGCCAGCACGCGAGCGGCGAACGTTTCTCTCTCTCTCTCTCTCTCTCTCTCGATTGACTAAGACAAAGCGTCGACATTTCCGGACGAACTTTGGCACGCTCGATCTCGCGAAAGTCGCGCTACAAAGGCGGTTGCCTCGAATGCTGGCCAACGTTGCTGGCCCGAGCAAACCGAATAAAGGATTGCTTTCATTTGTCGCCGATGAAAAATTGCTACCCACGCAAATGGCGCGCTGCCTCCGCCGCGAGGCCATTTTCGTTGGAACGGGAACGCGTCATATTGACCGTCATCCGGCGGCGGCCAGATCTGGGTCAGCCGAATGCTCCCGAAGATCCACGGCCGGCCGAACAATCGGCCATGTATCATCGGTTATTGCGACGTATCCTGCGATCGCCGCGCGGATGCGAATAGGCCGTTCCAGATTCCCTCGCGTCCGAGAGCGATCAAGATCGACGACTCTAGCACGGGGAGCATCCGTCGCGCGTTTCCTCTGCCTCGTTCTCCCTCGCGCGCCAACGTTTCTACGCAGAACAGAATCCCACACGATGTCCAACTGGACTGGACGTACGAATGAAAACGCGAGGAGCGGACAAGGAATTCGCTCGGTGAATTCTCGAGCGCGCCCGATGCCTCGTGACCATTTATATTTATGGTGCGCGCGAGAAACCGGTACACTCGGCCGGATCGAGAATTCACGCGACGTTTTCCAAAAAAAAAAAGAAAAAAAAAACAACTTTCTCGTTTTGATACTTTTTTGACATATATCGATTTCTAAATATTTAGCTAATTGACTTTTAAATGTTGAAAAAATTAATAAAATATAACGATAATTTTAGTTGAAACAGACACGTAAACAGTCTCGATTCTGATCAAATAATTTGATTCTTCTTCTTTGAAATGTCCCGACAACTGTATTTAATTTTTTATCTCGAATTCTTTTCTACGATAAAAGATGA